AGTGCTGAAGAAGAAGAAGAAGAAGAAGAAGAAGAAGAAGAAGAAGAAGAAGAAGAAGAAGAAGAAGAAGAAGAAGAAGAAGAAGAAGAAGAAGAAGAGGAGGAAGAAGAAGAAGAAGAAGAGGAGGAAGAACAAGAACAAGAAGAAGAGGAAGAGGAGGAAGAAGAGGAGGAGCTAAGGAGCTTACCACACCCAACACCATTCGACTCTTCTTATTTAGACAAACGAGTAATTAAATGTAAGCGGATTGCTACTCTGTTCCACCTGATTACTTCGGGTATCCACAGGAAACGAGCAGCGGCATAATGCTCTTAGCAGTTTAGCTGAGTTTTAATACGGGTTTTACGGCACTTGCAACACAATTAAGTCATGTAGGTGAGGCCAACCACCCACTCTTTTGATCTTGGCAGTTTGTTTGGCTGTCTGTCTGTCTGTTTGTTTGTTTGTTAGTTTGCTTGCCTGCTCATTTGAGGAAAGAGAGAGAGGACATCAGGTCGTGGGTTCAAACCCCGTGAGGATCCCAATGTTGTGTTCTGCTTTTGTTTTAGCAAGAGTTTTACGGCACTTGCAACACAATAAGGTCATATAAGTGCCGAAGATTAGAGGTGTCACAAGAGAGCAACAAACACAAAAAAGAAGGATGAAAAAAAAAGGATGATAAATGTTTGATTAGAAAGAAGAAGCAAACCACACCAGTGCACCCGCCAACCACCCACGTTGTGTTCTTGTGAAAGGCAGTTTACAGGAGTGTTCTTTTAGTTTTAGTAGAGGTTTTACGGCGCTCGCAACTGCATAAGGTCATACAAATGAGTGCCAGAAGATTAGAGGTGTTATAAGAGAGTAACAAACATAAAAAAGAAAAAGGGGAGATAAGGAAGATAGATATTTCATAGGAAAGAAGGAGCAAACCACATCAGAGCACCCGCCAACCACCCACCAAGAAGGTTCCTCCCTTCACCCAGGTGAGGATGGGGTGACCGGCAACAGACAGCGGGGCGTCTTGTCAGTTTGTTAGTGTTTGTGCGCTAAATCTGCTGCTTATAAACGCACATGCACGCACGCACGCACACACACACAAACTGACATATACACACACACACACTGACATACACACACACACACACACACTGACATGCACACTGACATACACACAGATCACCCATCTTGAATCAAGAAGACAGCGGCAGCCCCACCAGGCTGCTACACACATTAACAACAACAACAACAACAACAACAACACCAACAACACCCACCTACCACCACCACCACCATCAACAACACCCACCTACCCACACCAGCACCACCAACAACAACAACAACAGAAACAACAACACCCATCTACCACCACCAACAACAACAACCACAACAACAACAACCACCACCACCACCAATAACAACAACAACCACAACAACCACCACAACCACACCACCACCACCACCACCAACAACAACAACAACCACCACACCACCCACCTTGATGTAGGTCTGGCACTCCGACAGCGGCAGCCCCACTAGACTGCTACACAACCACAACAACACCCCCACCAACAACAACAACACCACCACCACAACAACATCCACCTACCCCCACCACCACCACCACAACAACAACAACACAACAACAACAACCACAACAACCACACCACTTCCACCACAACAACCACAACCACACCACCCACCTTAATGTAGGTCTGGCACGCCGACAGCGGCAGCCCCACCAGGCTGATCCCGTTGATAGAGATGATCTGGTCCCCGATGTTGAGCTGACCACAGCGCGCGGCTGGTCCAGTGGGCAGCATATTGGCCAACACCACTGTGGGCACCATCGAGCCCCAGCCAGACTCCACGATCACCACGCCCAGAGGCTCGTTCTTCGACTTGGGCACTATCACCTGGTGAGAGGTCAGAGGTTAGAGGTCAGATGTTAGAGGTCAGAGGCTCGTTCTTCGACTTGGGCACTATCACATGGTGAGAGGTCAGAGGTTAGAGGTTACAGGTCAGAGGTTAGAAGTCAGAGGCTCGTTCTTCGACTTGGGCACTATCACCTGGTGAGAGGTCAGAGGTTAGAGGTCAGATGTTAGAGGTCAGAGGCTCGTTCTTCGACTTGGGCACTATCACATGGTGAGAGGTCAGAGGTTAGAGGTTACAGGTCAGAGGTTAGAAGTCAGAGGCTCGTTCTTCGACTTGGGCACTATCACCTGGTGAGAGGTCAGATGTCAGAGGTCAGAGGTTAGAGGTCAGAGGCTCGTTCTTCGACTTGGGCACTATCACCTGGTCAGAGGTCAGAGGTTAGAGGTCAGATGCTCGTTCTTCGAACTGGGCACTATCACCTGGTGTGAAGTCAGAGGTCAGAGGTTAGAGGTTAGAGGTCAGAGCTCATAGATCATGTAAGGGTCGAAGATTAGAGGGGATACAAGAGAGTAACAAACACAAAAAAGAAGGAGAAGAGATAAGGACGATAGATGTTTGATAGGAAAGATGGAGCAAACCACACTAGAGCATCTGCCAACCACCCATTGGAGGGAAGTCAGAGGTTAGAGGTCAGAGGTCAGTTGGTTCAGTAAGGTTTTTACGGCGCTCGCAACTGCATGAGGTCATACAAAAGACGTAGAAAAAAAACGACGACAGTAAGGATGAGGAA